TCCTGACGTTCCCTGCCCGGGTTTCAGTTCTGCGAATTGGAGCAATTCCCGGATTTGATTTTGAGCAACCAGGGAGTCCCTTCATCAACTTAAGGTGGGCTGTGAAAACTCCACAGGAAGGGGGTGGAACATTGGCCTGAACAATTTTGATCTTCGTGATTTTGGGGACGGAACCAAGGGCAAGGTTGCAACCGAGGCGAGTCCCCACCCAAACCCTTCCAAGTTGGTTGCCCTTTCTTTTGACGGACGAAGTTGATCAAACACCCTTGGGTGGATATGGGTGCGCCTTTGTGATGTACAGATTCCAGTCCTGTAAGGTTCACCGCATGAATCATGTGTGTTTCCAGAGCAAAGTTGTTGCTAGCAGTACAGTAGTTTAAAGACAACCTAAATGGTTGTGAATTGTCATAGGCAACACAGTGAACATATGTTGTTGGACCTGAAATCCAACGTTGTTCGCCCGGCACAAATTCCGATGGCCGTGTACAGGCCACAAGTGCTAAGAAGTTGAACATGTTGATTGTGTTCCGTCAGGACCAGTCTCAGTGTGCGTTTGCCACTGAAATGGTCCAGCCCCAAAAGCGTAGACATCTATTGGTGTTTTCAACAACGTGGTGGTTCCCAGTCATCCCCTTAGCTTTTTTAGCTTTGAGCGTTTAGTAGGAACTTCCATTCAACCCATCAAAAGTTGTGCACTTTTAGCAAATCTGAGGACAGCCCAAAAAAGAAGGGCCTGAAAAGCACCACCTATGTGTCCACTTCACAAAACCAAAAGCCCGCGCAGGGGTACAGATATTTTTTCCGACTCCTTGCCTTGGCCCGAATCTGGGGTACACCAAGTATGTTCAGATGTTGATCCATATTTAGGCTACCCGAAAATACACCAGTCATTATGACGTAGTATTGGAGGAGACTGCAGAGAAGTTCAATAGTCCTGAGGTTTGTTTCATGACCCCGACAACACCTAAAAAAAAAGAACACGAACTCACCAAAGCAAGCAAGGAAGCGCCAACAGTACATCACCGTTCCTAAATCAATCTTGCAGCACAAAAAGGCAAAGTATAACTTTACCCGCATGAATACACGGGTTTCCTGTGAAGAAAATCAATCAACGACTTGCATCAAACATAAGCGTCGCAAGGCTCCCCTTGGTGAGGACCCCATACTTTGCCATCAACAACCGTGCTCCCCAAAAGGTCAGACTAGTTGTGGCCAGGCGAGTTGAAACTCATTGACATAGGTGTCCTTTTTGGCTGTTTTGCTAGAAAAAGCGATGGCGATTCCTGGTTTACCTGGTGGCTTAATCATCTACCAGGGAAACCCATTTTTTTTCTGAAAGGACACCTATGCTCATTGGTCAATGACCAACCATTTTGGGTAATGACCAACCAATTTTTATTCGGGTCAGAAGGAGACTCCAGGAATTGTGATTCTTGCAGTTTGCTTCTCATCAACCCATCGATGTTGTCTACAACGATCTCAGGGCATGGGACGCCCTCCCCCCATTTTTCTAGTGCTACCTTCGATTTCCACTCTTTTCAGGGATCCTTTCTAGAAAATGTCCGGAAACCCATGGAAGCGGCCGGTGGTTCGAAAAGAACGATTGTTGGAAAGGATGGGGACTGCACCCTTAGAATTTTGTCCTCGTTCGATGCGACCGGAAACGTTTCCGAGCTCGCCGTGTTCGTCAGGTTGTGGTGCGTCGTGGCTTGGCGTCGAAGCCTGATTGTTCTTTTCGCGTGTGACCTTTGAAACCTTTTTGTGCCCATTTCAGGGAGTTCCGAGTTCCTCTTGGTGATGGTTCAAGGGCAAAATCTAGGGATTCCTGGGGAGACGCTATCAGGAGGGTCCTGTTTGGATGATAAGCTGCGGTGTAATTATGATGCAGGTTAGTTGGGGAAAAGCCCCCTTCCATTGGGACATGTGTACCCATGAACCCTCATGATTCAAGAGCCCCCGGTGCGAAGAGCCAATCTGATTTGGTCCCATGTTGTTCCGTCCCCTCGCAAAAGTGATACCTTGCACACCCCAGAGGGGTTTTGGGGTCTCAAGACCTGGCTTCAGGGCCAAAATGCATCGAATTGGAGCGTCGTAGGTTTTACGTCATGGTGGGATTCCCCTGGCAAGCCTATATCTCACTTCCTGAGTTCATGAGCTTTAAACTTTTTGGGAAGACCGTTTGAGTGGTAAATATATAAAAGTTTGGGTACTTTTTTGAGGCCATCCACTCGATCGCCAGGGCCCCCAGGGCCCCCAGGGCCCGCCATCCTCCTCCACCCCCCTCCGATGTTTGTTGCGGGAATGAGGTCATTCCCCCACCGCTAGTCCCAATACCAGCCTTTGTTTTATTGTTTTCTTGGCATGATGTCCACCCTCTACAAAAAAGAACAGGTATTTGGCCTGGAAGACCACGTTTTTCCCTAAGCAAGTATGCCCAGAGGGTCCAAGTATCTTCTATGGAGGTACATAAACCCCTTTTCACCCCCAAAAGCCATCCTCAGGAGGTACCAAAAGGACCCTCTGGGATGAGGAATCTGGGAGCAGCGGGTGAAGCTAAGGAACCTTCTTAGACGTCGAGGAGTCCTCCGATGAAGTTTGCACGACGCGACAGACCCGTAGGCCAAAGACCACCAGCATTTTGCCGCCGAAGGGCGAAGTCATGGCGTTTGCCTACTGACGGGGCCCGGGTCCAAGTACCCTCTGAGGGGTTTTTGGGGTCTCTTCCAAAATTAGACTGAATATGCAACAGAATCTGAACAAGTTGCTTCCTGTGTACCCCAGATGTGGGGCATGTGTTGGGGGTGGTAGGGCTAAGAGTACCTCTTCAGAAGTACTTGGATGGACCCCTGTGAGGATTTTTACAGGGCATGTGTCGAAATGTCCGGACTCCTCCGAGCTCAGTTCATGAATCGGCCCGTCTTTCGACACACTCCCGATCTTATCGTTCAAGCTATGAGGCGCCCAGTCAAGGTCAGTGACGGACTCTTGGCTGCTTTGCCTAGCGCAGCCCAAAGTACAGAGTGTGCGGTTGTGGATGAAAGGCGTGGCGTTGTACAGCCCCCTCTCGGAGGCTCGGTGCAAAGTGGACCGACCGGCTGACTTTTCCGTCAGCCTACCCTCAGCTTGGAGGAGAGAAGATCCATGGGATTCCCTCTCCCAGAGCCGGAAGCTCCCAGGACCAAAAATCCCTCTGGAAGACTTGGTTCCATGTGCGAGATCGGCCTTCCGGAGCTTCCGGCTCTTAGTCTGAGTGTTCCCAGCTTTCCATAGTCTCCAAGCAGAGGGATCTTTCGATGTATAGTCGAGCAGTGTTTGGTTGCTCGCCCTAAACGGCCGCCAACGAGAGCAGCCCAAGAATTCCAGCAGCTATCAGCTAGCTGCTGCAGCTATCAGCTAGCTGCCTTTGCACATAGCGCTGCATGATTATTTGTGACATCTACGAAGCGCGCAGCGCCCTTCGTGCAAATGTCAACTCTCAGTCACGCCCTATTGCGAGAAAACTGGAAAGCAAGCAGGAGGAAGCCTTTCGGAACCACAGCAAGGATTTGGGGCCCTCAGAGTACCTCTCAACCTGGGTGCTCCTTGATGGAACCCCCAGATCGACTTTTTAGAAAAGACAGGTACATTTTGATCGTGGGGTGTTTTTCTGTGGGGGGTTCAGACCATTTTTGGAGGGGCCCCCCTATTACTAGAGAGTTTATTCATCCGAAGTCAACCAACCATATTCAGACAATCCATGTAGGTACTATATATGCATCTACCAACATTTGACCCAGGAGCAGGTGGCTCTTTTGACATCCAGCATGGTAGGGCTGCCGCCAGCTATGTCGACGGACGCTCTACGCGGGAGCGAGTGGGTCAGTTGATTTCTCGCATTTTCTGAGTTGACTGGATTTTAGTCACGTGGGAAGACCGGTTTGCCTGGACTCGTCTTCCGACCCTTACAAAATCATTACCCGGGCATTTGTTAAGGGTCATGGAGACTCCGGTTAGTGGCAATCAGCAAGTTCTGACTTTTTGTGGCCAATCCACTCGAGTTTTTTTTCCCTTCCGGCAGCTGGACGAATGGCACGAGTCCAGGCGGAAATTTCAAGCTGTCAAGCACAGGCAATTCCTGTTGTTCACTATGGTCTGGTTGATTACCCTCCCCTGTACTCACATTGGAACAGGCAATTCCTGCCAATTCCTGTTGTTCATTGTGGTGTGTGTGTGTGTGGTCTGGTTGATTTTGCCCTCCCCGTTACTCACATTGGAGCTCGGTGGCCCCAAGGTTACTTTCTTACGACTTTTTTTGGTTTTGTGGAGAGTGCTTGAAGAATTGATCCAGCGTTGCTGATGCAAGTTGGAAACGGTTTCCAGGGTTGGCCCTGAACAAATCCACATTTCGGGAAACACTCTGGATGCCCAAATCTGGATTTCATCCAGGACCTTTTGTGTCCTTCTTTGCGCACACATTCAGCAATCCACGGCTGGGGCACCCCCAAAGAAATGTCCACTTCCTCCCACTGTAGCACCCTGTGAGAGAGTTAAATGCACCTCCATGAAACGGGTGGGAGGGAAGATTACTCCAGCGCAAAAGTTGCCGTTGTGGACGAGTGAACTGACCTTGCTCTTCCAGGGATCGCTTCAGCATTCAAGCTTTAAAAGTGCTTGTCATCTACTAGTTTCTTTGACCTGGTCTCTTGCATTTAATATATTCGAGGCTTCTGATACTTTCTGGTTGTTTCTCTTGCCACCATTGAGCTCGGGTAATCTTGCTGGCAGAATGAGGAAATGACCCCTATAAACCATCGTTGTGGTTTTCTTTAAGGGGACCCGTGGGTTCATCCCCTCATTCCCTACCTATCGCACCAGCAAGTAGTCCCAGAGGGCCCAAGTACCTCCTGAGGATGGCTTTCGGGGGGTAAAAAAGGGTCGTTCAGAACCTCCTTAGAAGATACCAAGGGACCCTCTGGGAATTTTGAGGTCGTACCAACATGGGCCATGGCTTTTACGCACAGGTTACGATCATGACGCCGTGAACTTTGACCCTTTGGACATTGAGGTGCCTGGTTGACCAAGGGGGTGTTCAGACAGAAGAAAGCCCTGCCAAATTGCAAATACAGGCTCATGTGTCACCCCCGCACGTATGATTAATTATGTACGTGTTTGTGATTGTTTGTTTTGTTTGTTTGCTTGTTTGAACTTTGTTTGCTTTTTTGGTTGTTGCTTGCTTGCTTGCTTGCTTGCTTGCTTGCTTGCTTGCTTGCTTGCTTGCTTGCTTGCTTGCTTGCTTGCTTGCTTGCTTGCTTGCTTGCTTGCTTGCTTGCTTGCTTGCTTGCTTGCTTGCTTGCTTGCTTGCTTGCTTGCTTGCTTGCTTGCTTGCTTGCTTGCTTGCTTGCTTGCTTGCTTGCTTGCTTGCTTGCTTGCTTGCTTGCTTTGCCTGCCTGCCTGCCTGCTTGCCGGCTTGGTTGCTTGTGTGTTTGCTTGTTTGCTTGCCTGTTTGTTTGCTTGTTTGCTTGTTTGCTTGGTTGCTTGCTTGCTTGCTTGCTTGCTTGCTTGCTTGCTTGATTGCTTGCTTGCTTGCTTGCTTGCTTGCTTGCTTTCTTGTTGTTTTGCTCTTCTTGTCTTGGCATGTTTTTGTTTGTTATATCGATATATGTGTTTATGTATTTGTTTGTCTTTTCTTGTTTGTGGCTTGCTTGCTTGCTTGCTTGCTTGTTTGTTGTTGCTTGTTTGCTTGCCTGTTTGCTTGTTTCTTTCTTTATTTGGTTCCTTCATTTGGTACTTATTTTTTTGTATGTGTTTCGTTATTACTTTATCACTTTTTTTATTTCTTTCTTTCTTCCTTTCTGTCTTTCTGTATTATTAACCAGGCTCCCGCCTGCTGCCGCCGACCCTCGGCGCATTAAGGGAAAAGTCACAAGGACCGGTCCTGAAACATGTCCGCAAACCCAGGGACCACTTATAAGATCCTCTACGACCACAAACAAGGATTAACGGAAAAGTCAGAAATATGGCAGCTAGTCCGTTAACTACCGCTTGGGCCGGCTTGCGCCCAAGTCACTTCAAGTTGGCCCGGGAGCAGTCGCCTCTCCGGGGTCGCCCTGAAACTGGCCCTCCCGAAGTCGCCCTGGACCGGTCGCCGGCAGGGACCGGGACAGGCTGGTCCCAGTCTGGCGCGGTTTGACTCTACGAATTGGACTCTCTTGCAGAATAGAGCCAGGGATCCTCTACTACTACCACAGACAGATGGCAGCTCGTCCGTCAATAATCGCACGGGCCGGTTTGTGCCCAAGTCACGTTGAGCTGGTCCTAGAAACAAGGCCGTCGGTGCCCCTCAACCGGTCCCAGGACTGGTCCCAGGACCGGTCCCGGGACCGGGGACCGGTCCTGGGACCAGTCCTGGGAATCCACTTTTTGTGCGTTCGGGCGTGCCCCCCAGGGACTATCATTGATTCCAATCACTTCCAGTTGCATCCCACGCCGGTCCCCTCTGCAGGAGGCTGGGACGGGAGGCAGAGGGTCGGCGGATTTCTTTCTTTCTTTCTTTACTTTTTATGTCCTTCTTTCTTTCTTTCTTTCTGTTTTTGTGTCTGTTTGATTTTTCTGTCCTTCTGTCTTTCTTTCTTTCTTTCTTTCTTTCTTTACTTGTTCTTTCTTTCTTTCTTTATTTATTTCTTTCTGTTGTTGTGTCTGTTTGTTTTTCTGTCCTTCATTCTTTCTTTCTTTACTTGTTCTTTCTTTCTTTCTTTCTTTCTTTCTTTCTTTCTTTCTTTCTTTCTTTCTTTCTGTTTTTGTGTCTGTTTGTTTTTTCTGTCCTTCTTTCTTTCTTTCTTTCTTCTTTCTTATTTCTTCTTTCTTATTTCTTCTTTCTTTCTTTCTCTCTTGCTTTCTTTCTCGCTGTCTTTGCTTGTTTGTTGTTTTTGTTTGCTTGTTGGCTTGCTTGCTTGTTAGTTTGATTGCTTGTTTGTGTGTGTGTTTGCTGCGACCTGTGAGAGTCTTGCCACATTTGACAGGTTGCTCATCGCAACTGAGTGCGCACATCTTTGCCGGCAGAGCAATTTGTTGGGCTTCGCAAGCATTTGGATAAGATCTATGGGTTGAACTCAGGACCCACTGCTCATAGGTTGGTCCTGGTTGGTGGACGCCCTGGCAACACACCAAGGAAGCTTCCCTATTTTCATGCATAACAGATACCGAATCCACAATTTGTTGCATGTGCGTGTGTGTTGCCTGCGCCCATGGATGCAACTGCGACGTGCCTGCCATGTTCAAATGTCAAAGCCAGTAACAACACTCTTCATGGGCACTCATGGTCTAGTTTGCCCTCTGTGCCCTGCGATTTTGCCTCAGCCTGCGCTTGTTCCTGTACACGCATTTCCTTGAAAGTCAACATACAGGAAGCTGTTCATGTGAACCCTCTTTCGGGTTCCCATTGCTGTACTGGCCTGTCGCGGAGTACCTCAGACAAAAGTTCAGGATTGCATGTAGCGAGTTGTCAGGACACCATATTGTGTTGTGAAAGCTCATGTTGGCTTATGGCCTCCTCTTTCTCACAAGCTTATTTTTGTTTGGCACTTGGCAGTGGCAACCTTGCTTGCCCTTCCGTGTATTTTCCACTTCTCGATTTTTCAACACTGATCAGTGGATCCAATGGGCCTATTGGAAGGCAGACTCAAACCCTCGCTCCGTTCAGAAAGGAAGACTCTGAGTTTATACTTGAATTTTGATGCAAGTTGGTTCTTGAAAATTCAAGTTGCAGAGAGGTAAATAGATGCTTTAGCAAACAACAAGACCCAAGTAGCCTAAGATCTTCAGAGCGTTTGATTTCAATCTGTCTTGACGACTCTTGGGATTGTTTGATTCCGCCTCCATCCAGAACTATAGGAGCACTGCAAAAGGAAACTGAAAAGGGAAGTACGCGTCTTTGACTTCGTTGGCGTCCCACAACCCGCGCTTTTCATTCCTAAGCTCACCTTTTTGACTCCTCGCCTTTGTATCAGTGGATCCAGCAATCGCCCCAATCTTCCGAGCTTCAGCCGAAAGGGGTACTGTACCACAGAGAAACAGGTTTTTCATCCATAGGGTGTCCTTTTTGGTCGTTTCGGTGAAATAACAGATGTTGACCTCGGTGACCTGGTTGCTTCATCACCGACCAGAGCCGTCTATACGATTTCCTCAAAAGGACGCCCATTCCAGCATGTTCAGGGTCAATTTGTTTGAAGCCATGTTAGCCAGGTTGTGTACTGGTCCAACTTGTATATACTTGTTTGCGGCATCGAAACTCCAACGACTTCCATGCCCGACTTCCGCTCGCAGGCGGTCTTCCGAGAGCTTGAGCAGCTGGGCGGCTTTAGGCTTGGGTTCTGTGGTCAAGCCAGAGTCTCCAACACCTATTCAACTCCCTCCATGAGTTTCTGGACTTCAGTCACTTGTTGGGCAGACCATCTTCCAGCATTCGATTCCGTTATTTTCAACCGATCTGTGTTTCTCAGGGCTTTGGCGGTTTTTCTGGAAAGAGTCGGATCCCTGGACAAATGGGCGTGGCTCAAAATTTTCAAGAGCTGGGGTTACGCAGGTTTTAGTCTTTGGCATCATGTACCAAGGGGGCCATTTTGGTACGTCTATTTGAGCCACAGCCAAAAATGTTTATCCGTGGCAAACAAAAAGGTAGGACTTTGTTTGGCCAATCCGCTAATCCACTCACGTGCGTCAATGTTGAACATCCTCTTGAATCGGGAAGGCAGTTGTTTGAAACAAGGCGGGCTTGAAACAAGGCCCTGGTCCGATTCAAAGCCCACATGGATGTTCAACCAATGTCAGGCCCCCCCATAGCGCCCTTTTACCCTTTTCTTGGGGGACTTTTCCCCTACTAAAAATAGACTACAGAGAAAAGTCGCGTACAAACTTATTCTAACCTCTCTACTGGAGGACCTATATAGAAGGTTGTAAGTGGGGTAACTGGGAGTGGTTCCCTTAGAACCATGGTTGGAACCTACCTGGAGTCTTCTTCTGACCCTTAAAAAAGGGTTGGTCATTACCTAAAATAATGGGGTCATTGACCCATTTTTAAAGGGTCATGGAGACTCCAGGTACTTAGTTGGTTGACAAGCAAAGTTGAGGGAGCAGTCGAAGTTAGAACTTGAATGATGTTTTTACACAAAGCACATACTCGGGATACCACCCGCTTTTTGGGTTCGACAAGCCCAACATGGTTGGGCCACGCCCCTGATAAGGCATGGTTCAATCTACCCGACCGCACTCCAGGCCTTCATGAAAGACACAACAGCTATGGAGTATGCGGGAACTGTTTGCTCAATCGAAGTTGTCAACCACCAACCGCTCGTGGGCCAGTGGGGGATTCTCCAAAGCTTGCAAACCTGATTTTTGAAGTGGCCCAAATTGGCACTTCACCCCAGTCCTTTTTACTACGTCGAGACTCCTCGACCGTTCCAACATGTGGTCATACCCCCTCATCACATAACCCAATTGTGTTGAGAGTCAGAAGGAGCCTCAGGTTTGTTTTTTTCCTTTGTTAAGGTTGGTTCAGAGGTTTGTTCGAAGGTTGGTTATATAGAAGGTTGTTTCAAGTACCTGGAGTCTCCATAGCCCTTAAAACGTGGGGTCATTACCCGTCAAAACAGGAGTCATGGTCCCATTTGTGATTCGGGCTCCAGCTGCTTAAACCGGATTTTCTCTTACAGGGTGCGAATTTCGGCCAGATCAGAAGTCCTTTTTGTTCATGCTGGCTGATTTCTACCTGGAGTCTCCTTCGAATTCTGACCCTTTCAACATGGGTCAATGACCAACCAACATATTGGGTACTGACCCCATTCTTCAAAAAAAACAGACGGAGACTCCAGGTAGGATCCTTGGCCGGGTTCGGGTCTTGGTACCTTGGCCGGCTACCCCCACAAAACGACCCCGCGAACCCCCCCGCCCCGCCAGGCGCCCGGTGCTCCTCTCGGCGCCGGCGGAGGGCGGCGCTCTGCGGCGGCACTTGGCGCGGCACAGCTTCGAGACCGCCGAGGCGCCGGAGGCGCGGGGCGGGGCTCGTTTCGTTTCGCTTCGGTTCGCTTCGTTGAAAGCGGCGTTCGTTTCGTTCAGGTGCGGTTTCGCAGGGGCGGCCTCTTGCGCCCCAAGAAGCTTTTTTCCAGGTAGGTTTGAAGGTTCGCTTCGGTGCGGTTCGTTTCTCGGCTTGCGTTTCGTTGCTCCGTGGGCGGCAGTTGTTTGATAGAATTTACTGTTAAAAGGTACTTGGATGCTCGATTCGCTAAGTTACTACTTGGCTGGCCACCTGCCCAGACGCTCCCGATTTATTTTGGGCCCTCAAACAGCCAGGTTTTGAGACCTCAAAACCCCTTCTGGGGAGCCCAATGGAGGGTCTGGGTGCCATTGGAAGCCGAAGCCTGGAGCGTCTGGGTGAGTTATAACCCGCTTTTAACGGGTGGGCGGCGCAGGCAGGCCAGGATCAATGGGATGGAACCACTTGTTTGCGGCTATGAAGGGATACGTAGGAGTCTCCATGAGCCTTAAAAAAATGGGGGGGGGGGGCGTTACCCAAATATAATGGGGTCATTGACCCATTTTTAAAGGGTCAGAAGGAGACTCCAGGTACCCAGTTTTTTAATGGGAGGTGTTCGGGGGGAGTGGAAAGCACTGTGGAATTTGATTCGCCAACTTGGTCTGTTCTGGCCATGGTTATAAGTTCCTATCGAACTACACAACAGCTAGAAGCACTGGAAAGAGAACCACACAATTGCGGCAAACCAAAACACACACACACACACACAAACATGCCAACTTAAAAATAAGACACGACAGCAACACAAAGACAGCAAAGCACGTAAACACACCAGTTGAGTGCAAAAACGTGACCAGCAAACCACGGAGAGGTCGAAGAACGCCGGCAGGTGGCGCTGGTGGCTGCGCCGGTGCTGGCGGCATTGGGCTGCGGCAAGCTGAACTGTACTGTGGTGGACGTGGGCGCAGGCCATTGGAGACCGATTCGCCAAGAGGGTCCTTGGTGCTTAGACATTAGGCCAGGTTAGCCAGTTGTTAGCCACGTGGGTTATAGCATTACTAAACACTTACTAACTTGGCCGAGCACCCAAGTACCCCATTTGGTTTTACCTTCTTGGTCTAACCAACGTCAGGTAAGTAGGCTATCACCATATAGTTAAACTGGGCTTGGTTTGCTTACAACCATGATTATAATTATAACCTGCTTACTAAGTTGGTTGAACACCCAAGTTGGCACCCCATACTTTTTGCGGCGTTGGGTTTGGTTTGGGGTTTTGTTACAGATTCCCCAAAATGGCAAATATAAGCTACCAGTCTTTGGGTTGGGAGCTGAAGGTTAGTATTGGTTGTCAACCCGGATCCAAGTGGAACCCGTCCTATTCGGGGGTGTTTTCACTGCAGAAGTGATGACGCACTATATAAGGGACACCCCCATATTGCTTGTTGGTGCTCAGGGCATGACCGGTTTTGGGAATGAAGCTAGGCTGCTCAGAATCAGCACTATGATTCAAGCAGGGGTGTGTTATATAATCTGGTGTCAAGTTCTTGCCCAAAGAATCCCAAAAGGTTCGTCCTGATGGCTTTTGAGGGTAAGATGGGGTCGGTCCAAGTACCAACTTAGAGGGTACCCAGGGACCCTCTAGGAGTAACACATGGGGTCCCAAAAGGTACCTCATGTTTGCGGATGTGATGAAACTTTCATTGAACCAAGCCCCAAACCCGTTTTCTATGGGGTAGCAAGGGACCCTCTGATTACTGGATACCCTCCCCAGACGAGCATGGAAGCTCCCAGGACCCCTTTGGAAGACTTGATTCATCTTGATTCCATGTACGGAGTCGGCCTTTCGAATTTAGGACTTAGAACACGAAGAGAAACTTCAAAGGACCCAACACCCTCAACGAAATAAGCCCTGAAGCAACTGACACAACTAACCTGTGAAGTTGAGCTCGCAAAAAAGAAGCATATGCCTTTTATTTTACCTTCAGTTGGTTGCACCCCGAGCTTCAAGTTGGATCGTCGGGTAGGTTGGATCGACATTTGCCAATTGCCATGAGGAAGGGGTCCGTTATTTTGACAACTCAGATCCCACTGAAAGCACCTTTTCAACCCATGTCTTAGGTTCCCCACTGCACAAAACGGTTTTTTTTAAGGGTACGCTTAGGTGTAACGGCCCCGAAGTTTCGCACTTGGTTTTCTCGCCCAACATGGGGGACTTGCAAAACAAGGAGTCCTAACACCCCAAAAGGTGGCCCACTAAGGTCACGTCGGAGACTCCACGTCGGTGTGTTGCGTTTGGGTGCCTTCTCCAGTCCTCCGTTGGTGCTGTTGTTTGGACTGTCTGGTCAGAAGGAGACTCCAGGTAGCAAAAGGCACTGCGGTTTCTAAGCAAAGCAAGGGGTATGACCCCCCTCCCCTTTTTTGGGTCAGAAGGACTGCAGGTAGCAAAAGGCACTGCGGTTCAGGCATCTAACCAAAGCAAGGGGGTACTGTGGATGGACGAATTCCTGCAGCACCTAAGAAACCCTGGAATGGTGATTTCCCTGCAAATACCAACAAAGAATGGTTTCCCATGGTTTCAAATTGGGTGCAGGATTTTGTCCATCCACAGTATGCAGACTCAGGATAGATTGGGGTTCAGGCATCTACCCAAAACAAGGGGGTATGTCCCCCAAAAAAATATCGGGTCAGAAGGAGACTCCAGGGACCAATTTCCTCGATGTCATGTTTCGCCGCAGGCGTCACCTCAGTGGCGCCCATCCTGCAGGGACAGCTGCACGACGGCTTGCAACAGATCCTCGGATTGAATTTTTGACTCAGAGGCTCCTGGGGCTAAAAAATGGTTGGTCATTACCCCAAATAATGGTTGGTCATTGACCCATTATTAAAGGGCACGGAGACTCCAGGTGACAAATAAAACACCCAGTCGCGAAACACGCGCAGTCGCACACGTTCGACTTATGGCTGCAGTAGGGAAAAGGGCCTGGTTGTCATCACCTTGGCATGTCATGTTTAGGAATCGGTACCTTCCAAGGAGGTACCAAAGGAGCCCCTTTTACCCCACAAAAAAACATGAGATGGCACTTAGACCCTCTGGGCATGTTGGGTGAAGAAGACTCCTGGGACCCAAATCATTTCGAGGGTGCCGAGAGAAACCATTCACCGAAACCGTAGTTCCTTCTTTCGGAAGGGGCCGCGTGCCAGGAAAGAGTCATGGTCTTTTGTAGCCAAAACAGGTCGCGGTTCCGGAACTTGTTACTGTTTGGAAGGACGATTTCAGCGCCCTGTGTTCGAACACAACCAAATGGGAATGTGTCAAAAGAGGGGGGACCCCCCCAACCAGAAAACAAGTTTTGCTTTTCCCCCGGCGTCCCCTTAAAAACCACCCCGACAAGGGCGCCCTCAACTTCCTCAACCAAAAATCAATTCCTGAGGGTCCAAGTACCTTTCAATTGGATGGCTTTTGGTGGCTTAAGAAAGAATAAAGTACCTTGGAAGGTACCAAGGGACCAAGGGACCCTCAAAGCAGCCCAAGTGACCCTTAAGCTCGGCGCACGGCTCGGCGACCTTTCGACGAGAGGCGACCTTTTGCGGGCCACGCCCTGGATTTGATGGTCCTAGAGGCTCTGAAGAAGCAGGCGGATGCCTCGTGTGTGATCGATGCGGCTGCTTGTCTCAGTTGTTCAGTGGCAGCCATTATTTTTGTTGTTTTTCTTTTCTGGTGGCTGCCCCACAAAACATGGTCTTACCCAAGAAGGGTTCCTTTTTTTCCAGGGTCACCGAACAACTGAGTTGTAGATCGCAGTGCTTCCAGGCGCGAGAGGCCACTATAGTAGGTAACCCTTCGGGTTTCTTACCTCTAGGTTTTTTACAGGGTGCCTACAATGCAGGTAATGTTGACCAATATGAATCAACGCCAGGTTATTCATAGGGGGGTGGTGTTTGGCCCCTCCAAAAGTGGTCTCATTCCCCACTAATCTCAGAAACACACCACTACTCACTGGGGTTGATTTATATGGGGTCAACCTTACCTGTATGGTAGGTTACCAAGAAAAGGCACCCTGTAAAACCTAGGGGTAAGAGACCCGAAGAGTTGCCTACAAGTGGCTTGCCTGGAAGCACTGGGGATTATTTGTCCCCTAAGGGTCTAATCGGGGCTTGGTATGGAGAACCCGGAATCGGTTCCCCGTACCACACCCCGAGTTGCTTTAGGGGTGTCAAAAGGAACTAATTTGAGGCCCCAGACTCCATCAGCACCCTTACAGTTCATACATTTATGTCCACCTAGTATTAGTAAATGGACGTGGTATAAAGAAATGGGGGCTCGAAAAAAGAATAAACCACCTTACAAAACTATAGTGAAACAACAAACACTAAACATACACCAAACAGTGGTTTGAGCCTGCTCCCCAAAATCCAGAATGTTCAGCTTTCCCAAATCATGTATTCTGACATTTCTCTTGTCCAACAACTGCCAGCAATTTCACCATAACAAACCCACACCACGGGGGTGGTACCCCAGACCCACCAAAACAAGAATCGATGAGTTGACAGTCGTCTTACTTCGCGTTGGTCTTTGCCTGCGTCGAATGGAATAGTCATAGAAGCGGCTGATGGCCCCTCTGCATCTGGAGGGGTCCTATCCGAAGCAGCGTTTTTAATTCATCCTTTAAATGTTTCCCGCCGCCCCTGATTACTGTTGTCCTCCAGATTGATCCGAACTTGACATTAGGATCGTCATAGGACTGGCAACTCAGTGTTGACGCTGCCAAAAGTTGGCATTGGGAATGCTAAGCAATAAAACTGTGCCTCTCAGCCATACACGCATACACGCCCCCGGGCCCCAAACAAACCGCCAGTTGTTTTGCGTCATTCTTTTCCCCAAGCAAACACGCCACCCGTTTCTGAGGGGGGTGGGGTGGGGGGGTTCCCACAAACCGCCCCAGTGTTTTGCGCCTTTTGTTTTTTTGCTTTCCCCAGGGGTTTGTTGCTGGGGGGTGGGGGGTTCCCGTGGGGGGGGGGAGGTGGGGAGGTGGGGACTCGCCAGGGTGTCACTCTGCCAGATGAGCCGCCGGACTGGAGGCGTGCCGAACCGCATGCGCGCGGCGCAGCCCGCCGAACTTGAGCCGAGCTGATGGGGAGGAACCTCCAACCGATTTGAAGGGAGCTCAGCGATGGTTTTTGGAGACACAGCTGATATGATTTGTGGTTTTTTGATTCCATTGTCTTTTGCACTTTGTGGTGGGGAATCAACCCAGAATCACTCTGCGGCGTTTGTGTCCATGTTTTTTGTCCTGCCCGAATGGCGTTGTTTGTCCTGGCTGTGTCGAGGTTTGGTGCCCGCTTGGAATCTCGGCGCCTGTGTTCCATTGGGTCCCTGAGTCCCTTCCTAAGGGCGGCGCCCCCAACCTAATTTTTCAGCCTTTTGTATTGAGTCCTTTTGCCCGTTCTTTTCGACCGTGAGCGTTACTATAGCAGGTAACCAGGTATGGCTAGCAGGTTTTACATCATGGTTTGTTCTGGTTACCTAGCGCACAAACAGGTTTTCGGACCTCCCGTCCAACCTTGCGATAGTTTTTCACTCACTCGCTCTCATGATCCTCGAAATGGACAGGAACAGTCTCTTGCGGCCCAGAACAAGTTGAGAGGGTTTAAGCAACATTCGGGTTTGATGAAAACGGGAATTCGTCCATTGCAGATTCTTCAAATCCGCAAATTGTGAGGTACCCACAAAAACAACCACATTCAATATATGGGTTTCGAGCCTTTCAGGTAGGTGGTTTCCTTAAAAACAACATTCATCTGAATTTATCCAAAAAAGAATGGTAAAGCAAACACCTTCCAGGTATACCTGGAGTCTCCATGGCCTTTAAGAAATGGGGTCATTGCCCAAAATACTGGGTCAGAAGGAGACTCCAGGAAGGTGGTTGAAATGGCGGGGAACCTTCCAGTTTGGGAAGAGACGGCTGAACCCCGCGCGCGCTTGCTCGCAGGAAGCGGGGCACGGGCTTTGGCGCTTTACGCCTGGCCCAGGACGTGAAAGAGACGGCTGCTCGGCCGACCCCCCGCCCCCAAGACGCATTTGGGTTTATGCCCTTGTGCTTTGGTGTGCATCTAACTTAGTAGGTTGTAGCTGTGGGAATAAATGGGGAAACTGGGGTTCGTCCCCTTATACCATCTTCTAGACATGGTTATAACCTACTAAGTTGGTTGAACATCCAAGTACCCCTTTTTGGTGGGTCAAAGGCAGAAAGGGGGATTCCAATTTCTAAGGGTAGTTTGAGGGACCAGGTTCATTCTTTCTGACTAGTCCACCCAGGAAGTGAGTCTGACAAGTTGTCCTGTCCCTTGCCCCATTGGTGGCGTCTCTGTGGCTGCAGCCTAAAAACCCAACGACCATGCCACTGTTGCGTTTACTGGGGCCGGGATGGCCTTGGACTGTTTATAGGTGGTTTGACAAGCAGAACGAGTTGTATCACGTTTAAGCCACGACACCATGGCCAACGTAAGTTGCTTGGAACTCCGCAAATGTGATGTCAACCAAACGGCTGGAACGGCTGATCAGGGATCAAACAGATTCTGATCATGTCTAGAGCTCTTTCACTCCTTCCTCAGATCATTTTGCAGGGTTGCATGGACCGCAAAGCTCACAACCAACTGGGCGTGGCAATGTTGCTCATAGTGTGAACGGACACAACCCATTTCGCACCACTTCAGAATCCCTGGTGATGATTCGCCTGTAAATACCAACAAACGTTATGGTTTCATCCTTGGTTTCATTTTGTGGTGCGAACGCATTTCGTCCATCCACAGCATCAACCAGCTATGATCACTTCGGACGCTTCTCGTGAGTTGTTAAGAGATGATAACAGTGAATGGGGAACATGAAATCCCCATCTCACTTTGGTTGATATCCACCAAGAGGTCAACGATCCATCAACATGTTCACAGCAACAACCCTTCCTTTCTATTGGGGGTGATCACGTGATCGCTCACTGCACGCCCAATAAACTTCTCGGGGACCGATTAAGTTCACAGCCCATTCTTCCGGGCCTCTCTGCGCCACCAATCCTTTGTGCCTTCTGTTCCCTTCCTCCCTCCTTTGTCTCCCTGTTTTTTCCTTCCAGCCTCTGTTCCCTGTCCCCTCTGTTCTCCTCCTCCCTCTCTTCCCTTTGTTCCTTCTCTCCTCTGCCCGCTGAGCACTCAGATCTGCTTCTGCGCCCACGCCCCCTTGGCGACTTTGGAGCCGGCCAAAGCGTACCGCCACATCTTGCCGGACGGACAGGCGCCATTGGCCGGTTTTCGCGGAGGAAAAAACCGGGCCGGTTCCTTGGTTGCTTAGTGGATACCAGCATCTTTTTTGGGCCACTCAAAAAGTCACAATGGGTGCTAGCGGATCTTTTGAACAAAACTAGGGGTAGCATTGGTAGGGTTGATGCTCCATGGAACCTCACAACATGGATACGTGGCTCGGTCAGGGCTGCCTTCCCCAACATGGCTGAAACTGTCCCTTTGGTTTCCCTTGAGCAAAGACAACCCTAAACAGGGTACCCTTCAAACTGCTTCTGGTGCCATGTGGTGTTGAATTTATTGTTGTGGAAGTTTTGACAATAAGCACAACGTGTTCCATCAAGCACACCAAACAAAGGCGCTTGTCGTTCAATCATGAGCTTCCTCTGGCGAACAGTCGTATCAAACAAACCAAACAACCAGCTTTCTCCAAGTGTGATACGTTTTCGGGTTCACTTGGCTACTTTATCACTTTGACGGCGCTCCCAAGTACCAAATCACTGTATATACCCAGTGCTTTCGTGGATGAGGATTCATGCTTCTGCCGTTCCTAATCCCAATTACTCCCCTTACAACCTTCTGTCATGGAAGTGTTGTTTGCGGCGTTCCCAAAAGGAAGGCAGTCTCCAAAACCTCCTTGCCAGTTTCCAACGTTGGAGGAGCAGTATAACCCAAGTTATCCCGCTTATGACTTACTTGCCCAAAGCTGGCCTTTTGACCTGTTGGTGTCTCTGATTTGGTCCCTGTTTTGCCATTCCAAAAGGTGATCGCCCAAATTACAAATGAACATGGAATGCAGCAGGGGGTCCATTTCCCAAAGGAGTTTCCTCTAGAAATTTGTGTTCTTTGGGGGGTCCGCGTTAATCTGCAGGTGGATTACAACCGACTTATCAGGTAGCCCTTAGTTCGTGGTTTGGATTAGTGGTTTGGGGATTTGAACCCATTGTCCTCATTGAGGGTTGATGGGACGCCGCCCCCTTGACCAACGAAACCAGCGAATTGGAGGGAAGTTGCACTTACATGCCGCAACGCTAAGTGGTAGGTATCCTGTTTTTGACCCACTCACCATGATCGTAAGTCCCCTATCCCAGAGGTTCCAAGCATCTTCTAAGGAGGTACTGAACGACCCCCTTTTTACCCCCCAAAAGCCATCCTCAAGAGGTACCAAGAAACCCTCTGGGATGGTTAGTATCCTGGGTTTAACCCACTTACCATGGTTGTAAGTCCCCTACAGCCAGGGTTCCTCGCCATGTCGCGGTTCTTTTAAAGGAGGTCGAGGTGACCTCCTTCTCCCGCGCCATACCAGAGGAGCGGATCGAAGGATCGAATCGCTTCCGAAGTTTGGGGTGTCTCGGTCGACCGGTCGGCCTTTTGGTTGGATCATGCTGGGTTCAACCTTTTTTGAGAGGCCTGTCAGCCGACCTACCTTTTGATTAGGGGCCAAATTGGGGTGGCCAACCTTTTTGAGTGGCCCCAACTGGTGATCACCTTCTATTTCTGGGTTTGGGGTCAACCGGGCTCACATGGCTGTGGGTCAAAACCAATGGTACCATTCTGGGGTAGGTGCACCACACATTTAGTCTATTTTAGTGGTTGGATTCGGATGTTCACTGGGGGGTCACCGGGATTTTGACCCACGGCCACATGTTTTTCAAGGGGCACCGAGAGGAAGAACGCTTGGCCATTCGATTTGAATGAGGATTTCTACTTAAAGGGGCGATCGGGTACTTTGTAAGTGGTTAGCTTTGTTATAACCAACTTAGCGTCTGATCATCATGGTACGTGGGTTATAACCACCAACTTAGTGACTTGTAATCATGGCAAGTGGGTTATAACCATCAACTTCGCGACTTGTAATCATGGTAAGTGGGTTATAGCCATGGTTATTACCCACTTCCCTGACGCACCCGATCGTCTCTTAAAGCAAGGCTACCACCCGGACAAGCGACAGCTCACTCCAAGCCAGCAAGCTCCCTTTGATTGATCAACTCGCTGGCTGAGCCATGCCACTTGATCTTGGAACCTCAGTCACTCACTTTGAAGAAAAAACATATTTCAGCATACATATTAAATATACATACCTGCAAAATCCTAACGGCACACATTTTAGCCTCGGCCTGCAAAAGGCGCCTTTTTCCGTCGTGTATAGGAGTAAGGTCTCCCCCGTGTGTTAGGTGTTTCGCAAGTGCTCAGAGGTCATGAGTCTGTCTCTCTTTCCGCGGGTACCCACCGTTTTCGGTTTGGTTTTTTTATGCGACGCCCGAGGAGTTTTCACCATCATTTTGAGGGGTTTTACTAAGAAAGAAAAAGCCACACCATGCAACATTTGAGCGTTTGCCACAGCTCAAATTTTGGGGGGTGGTGGCTCTTCGACTGGATTTTGCCTGAGTCGGACAGGGTTCAGTGATCCAGGTGCTGCTGACGGGCTCCGAAACCCAAAGCTGGCCCGGCCTTCCGCGGAGCCTTGTCCCAATGAGTCCCATTCAGGTCACCTTCGCTTTACTTTATGGAGTACTAACAAGGTGGGGGCGGTCGAAGTGGGGGCAACCTTTATGTTAACCCCGGATGAATGAACCCCTTGATGAATATGTGGGTTTATTCATCCACTGTATGGAGTCCCGAACAAGTTGGGGGTGGTCCAAGACCCCACTTCCCTAAGGATTTCTCCCTAGAGAACGCTAAGGAACCCCAAGGAATCCTCTGAACTGCTCAGGTCACCTTTCATGTTCACCCAGATGAATCACTTCACGTTATGGAGTCCCATTCGGGATTCGGGGTCCTGGTTGTCCAAGGGGGGGGGGGGGAATCAACCCCTGCTTGTTGATATGTATTGACGAATTCCGTTTCGCACCACCTAAGAAACCCTGGAATGGTGACTTCCCTGCAAATGCCAACAAACAATGGTGTCCCATGGTTTTGAAGTGGTGCAGGATTTTGTCCATCCACAGTATGGGTGTCCCTGGTTTTAGTTGGGAATCAGACCACTTTTGGAGGGGCCAACAGCCACCCCCATAGCAATAAACAGGGGGTTTATTGATCCACTTTACCCCGCTTAGATCCGCTTAGGGATTCCATAATCACTGGTTGTTGGTGGGATCATGCTTTTAGGGTCTTTGGATTCTTTGTTTGGTTCTGTCCATTTTTAGTGGCTCCAAAAACAAACAGCACTTTTTGCTAGCCCGTATCCCAGGGTTGGCAGGTTAGTCGGTGCTTTGCATTGGTGGTTTGGATTTGGATTTGAACCCCTGGTTCTTGTAGAGGCCCATTCTGGTACCAGTGGACAGGGGGGCTTCCTCAAACATTCAGTTTTGCAGAAGCCTCCTTGCAGAAGCCTCCTTGCAGAAGCCTCCTGGCAGCTTGCGTTGGAAGGAGGGATCGCAGAAACTTCTATGCTGAAATGAATATGGCTGTGGGTCAAAACCAATGGTACCATTTTGGGGTGGGTGCACCACTCATTTTAGTCGATTTTAGTGGGGATTGGGATGTTCACTTTAGGGGTCTCCGAAACTCGCTTACGTTTTAACCCATATTTCGGATTTGTTCGGAGTCTGTAATTGGCAAATCCACCTTTTGCCAAACCCAAGACCGTCAATATGGGGTCTTGGACCCTCTGACGGGTAGACTAAGTATGAAACGGAATCAGAACGCCTGCAGCTTGGGCCTTCTCCCTTTGTTTGCGTCTTTATCTGTGGGATTTCGTCCGTTCACTGCTCGTACGGTGGATGGTTGCGAAATCCGTTCGCACCACAAAATGAAACAGGGCTGAAGCCTCAAAAGGTTTGTTAGTATTATCGTATCATTCCAGGGTTTATTAGGTGGTGCGAATTGGATTTTGCAACCGTACACAGTATTTTGAGCTGTTTAAGCTTTTTGATGTTCCTGAAAATCCGCCCCTTTCCAGCGCAAGGCTAACTTTTGGCAGGGGTATCAGTCTGGCCCAGCAAGGTAAAACCAATGAGGGCCCCTATTTTTCGGCCGGTTGTTTCCCTTTGAAATTGAGAGGTCGATGTTTGAAGTTGTCACTCTAATGCTCCCACGAAAAGGGAGCGGAGCATCTCCGAAGGTGGCTCTTTGGACATGTTTTTGTTTGTTTGGTTGAGAGAATGTGCTACTTAACTTGACTGCCATTGGGTTGGATCTTTAGACTTTAACTTTTGGGGAAACAAAGGTGTTTCCACTAAACCCCCAAAAAGTTAAACCTTTTGCAGGGGGGTCATTAGGAACCAAGGCAAACTACGGACCCATTTTGAGGAACGGACCGCTTTGGGTTCCATTCAGGACTTCAAAGCGGGAAGTTCCCCAAGGAAGTGTACCCTTGACAAACTCAGCCCCAAGTCCCTTGCCCAGAGAGGGTTGGATGACAGGTGGTGTTGAAGTCTCCTGTTCTTGATATTCCTGGACTGGTGCCCGCACAGATGGCAAGCAATGCACTTCCCGACTAATTACCTCCACCTCATCCACGTGCCAACACCCGACAACACCATTTGACTCGGAAGTGTGAGCACACAGTGGTTTTGTGACGGGGGGCTTCAGTGCAACGCATGCGAAGCGCAATCGCGCAAGCTGCTTGCCCCTGCCCGTGGTGCGGCCAAGCAAAGACCTACTTGGACGCCTGCGTGGGCAAGGTATGGAGTAAAGTCGACGAGGGGCTCCGACCGCCATTCTTCCACCGCCCCACGAGGGCAAAGAACAGGCCCTCGAATGGCTGCACACAAGCAGAGCGCAGCGAGTCGGGCACTTCAGCTGCCACCGCCTCCTGAAACCACCTCAACGCACCACAGCCACCATCTTCACACAACGCCCTCACAAGACCCCCGTGCCAAGGTGGAGTTGCGCATGTGAAGGTTGATCAATAATCCATTCAGGGCCCTGAAATGACCATGGGCAACTTTTCCCATGTGGGAAATATCAAGTCATGTCTGTGGGTTTTCACCATGGTCATCCCATGTAAAGGACCTTTTGATCAACCCCAATGTTTGGGGCATCCCGAAAATGGCGGGGCGTTCCTTTTGGTTTCCCCTTGAAACACCAATCCAACAAGCCTAGCCTCAACAAACATTCACATTCACGACACAGAGAAGCCGCCAGGACCTACAGGAATGGCTTTTGCTGGCTTCGATTTGAGTGAATAAAAGTGGCGATTGGGGTTTGGCCTGCCTTGACAAATAAGCCCAAAGCAGATACCTTCGCGTCCACTGGCGTAGAACCCACTAAATATTAATTTTCAAGGATAATGGTCCCAACCAGGACCCCGAAACGTGAGGTCCATAGCAACATGGATAGGAGGCTACCCTCAAGACACCGCTCAATCTTTAAGCTTTGATTTGGCCTTTCGCATCAATGAGGTTTATTAGACCCTCGCCCTCACTTCCTTTGTTCCTGGGCCTAAAACTTTTTGGGAAGACTCAGGATGGCATCTGAGGCGGGCGGTCGGATCGGATGCGTTGCTCCCCGGTGAATGACAAGGCTTGTTGGTTCTGTTTGGTTGGGGGGGGCAGGTAGCCCCTGGTTGGTGGTTTGGATTCGTGGTTGGGGATTTGAACGCTTGGATATCCCTGGATCTGATGGAGAGTAAACAAGAAACCACGCCCTAGCCACCAAATTACCAATCCAAGCCACCAATCAGAGAGAAGCTGAGGCATGCCCCGTTGAATTCCTCCAGCCCAAAAAAGGGTGCTTGATGGAGGAACACACGTTCTAAGGTGTGCGCAAGTTACACGTATGACATATTTTAACGCCTCCGGCTCAGGCCGCCGACGTTACAGGCCTGCTTTCTTATTTGCGTCCCTTTGGAATTGACCCCTTGCCCCCCTTCCCCTCTAAGATCTTTGCCCCCCTTTCCCTGTTGAGATCCTTTCCCCCTTTCCCCCCTAAGTCCTTGTCCCCCCTGAGATCTTCTCCCCTTTCCTCCCCTAAGATCTTTTCCCCCCTTTCCCTGTTGAGATCCTTTCTCCCCCTTACCCCCCCTAAGGCCATTTCCCCCCAGATCTTCTCCCTTTCCTCCCTAACATCTTTCCCCCCCTTTCCCTGTTGAGATCCTTTCCCCCCCTTACCCCTCCTAAGGCCTTTTCCCCCCTGAGATCTTCTCCCCTTTCCTCCCTAAGATCTTTTCCCTACTTTCCCTGTTGAGATCCTTTCCCCCCCCTTACCCCCCCTAAGGCCATTTCCCCCCAGATCTTCTCCTTTTCCTCCCTAACATCTTTCCCCCCCTTTCCCTGTTGAGATCCTTTCCCCCCTTTCCCTCCTAAGGCCTTTTCCCCCTCAGATCGTCTCCCCTTTCCTCCCTAACATCTTTCCCCCCCTTTCCCTGTTGAGATCCTTTCCCCCCCTTACCCCTCCTAAGGCCTTTTCCCCCCTGAGATCTTCTCCCCTTTCCTCCCTAAGATCTTTTCCCCCCTTTCCTGTTGAGATCCTTTCCCCCCCTTTTACCCCCCCTAAGGCCTTTTCCCCCCAGATCTTCTCCCTTTCCTCCCTAATATCTTTCCCCCCCTTTCCCTGTTGAGATCCTTTCCCCCCTTTCCCTCCTAAGGCCTTTTCCCCCCTGAGATCTTCTCCCCTTTCCTCCCTAAGATCTGTTCCCCCCTTTTTGTGTTGAGATCCTTTCCCCCCCTTACCCCCCCTAAGGCCTTTTCCCCCCAGATCTTCTCCCTTTCCTCCCTAACATCTTTCCCCCCCTTTCCCTGTTGAGATCCTTTCCCCCCTTTCCCTCCTAAGGCCTTTTCCCCCCTGAGATCTTCTCCGCTTTCCTCCCTAAGATCTTTTCCCCCCTTTCCCTGTTGAGATCCTTTCTCCCCCTTACCCCCCCTAAGGCCATTTCCCCCCAGATCTTCTCCCTTTCCTCCCTAAGATCTTTCCCCCCCTTTCCCCCCTAAGGCCTTTCCCCCCCTGAGATCTTCTCCCTTACCTGTCCGGTTTGCCTTCTTGCCCCTTCTAACAAATCATGACGTCAGGACCCTTGGAGAGGCCAGCAACTTGCCACAAGGTCACTGCCGGCCGCAACCTGAAGGTGGATCCCGAGAATTCCACCTGGGCGCCTTTGGGGGCACGGCCGACAAAGACGGCCAAGGAGAAACGAACCTTATCTGTCCAAAAAGTTTCAATGCTTAATCAGGACGAACCTTATCGCCTCAAAAAGGCTCAATCATTAATTTCTGCTTTCTAAAGAAAAAAGAACTTTATCGGTCAATGGGCGTCGGAAATCAAACGAACCTTATCCTGAAACCCCGCAGGACCAGCGCTTGAGCCGCAAGTTTTTCGTCGCACGAAAGGACTTGGGCCCAAAGTGGTCTAAGCGCTGTAGAAAGTACCTCAAGAAGTACCTCCCGGTACTCGAGGCAAATCTTGGCCCGGGGGAAATCGTGCCTCCCCTCCGAGAAGATGAAGAGCCTTCGGAAGTCAGGCCTCTTTTCAATTTCTTCCACATTGAGGACTTCCGCAGACGGGTTTTGAAACCCGTGACAAAGGCGGGCACCAACGATCCAGTGACGGCTGCTGTGGACTCTACTAAGTCCAGGGTCTGAAAGGAACGCGTGGGTATGCGCTACGTGAGGGCGCACACGCAAACTCGGCATACTGATGAGGTCTCCACAAAGCACTACCGACAGCAAACCTCTGCGGTATTGCACGACCTGTATGCCCGCGCTACCCCGAATGTGTGAGTATGCATGATTCCCTTTTCATTTCGAACCTTATCGGGGCTTTCCCGTTCCAACCTTTTCGGGGCAAACATGTTCGAACCTTTTTGGTGCTTTTTCGTATCTGCGGGGAGCGCGCAATCCTACCGGCCTTCTTTCATAACCCTAACTTTGTTGGGACACCCGTAATATTTCGAACCTTTTCGTAGAAATCGTTGGTGCCTGGCTTTGATATCTGATTAGCGCCACTTTTTTCAAGAATTTCATTTCACAGGCAGCAGACCTTGTAGTCAGCGCCATATTTGAAGCACCGTGACCGAAAGTCAAGAAAATACAAATAAAAAACCACCCACAGACAAGGGTGGCAAAAAAAAGAAAGAAAGAGAAGCACAGCGAGACAAGGAGGCGTTTGTGCCCAGCCGCGTATAGGCCTCTTGGGGAACTCCGCGGGATATAAATAGGGTAACGAGCCAAGCTGACCTCCTGGGCTTGGCATGGAAGAGCTGCGTCTGGAGCATGTGCAGGGAGACCTTCGCCGCCCAAACGTGGGGCGCCTCTGATCAAGCAGCCCCCAAATAAGGAAACGGGGGTGCCCAATAAGGTTCAATTTCTGGCGACACAAGAAAGGAGACTCTTAGCAGACTCCCACTGATTACGGAAAGACGCACGAAAGATTACGGAGATGACTAAGAAAAATTGCGAATGACTACGGGGGGATCTGGGCGGAAGGGGTGCTGGATTAGGGGTGGCTTAGCTGCTGATAAATCTATTACATGGAAAATGCAGAAGGAAGTTCTCAAGATTGAAATGTGAAGGCGGCCTCTTGGTCACCGCAAAAAGCGCGGAATCAGGTTCATCTTTGCTGGGATGATTCGGGGGGCTCCCGAAGACTGATTTCGGAGGACCCCCGAAGATTGCGCGGCTGGCACTGAACGAAGCCCAGCATCACTTGCATCATCCGCATCCTTGGCAGGCGCTGATGCGGATGATGCAGGTGATGCTGGCGATTTTGCCCAGGCGGTGCTAAGGATGCAAAAAACGGACCCGGGGGGAATCGAACACCCCAATGTTTTTTACGCAACTGTGTTCGCACAGCCCCCAGAAGAAAGGATTTTAGTGGAACGTCTTGGAATCACCGCGTGGTACGTGGACCCCCCCCCCCCGCAATAGTCTGAGGTAAGGAGCACTTCTTATGTCCAACACGCCGCCTGTTGTCGGCGGATATTTGCACAGGGCAACTGGGTGCACATGTTTAATAGAATTGTGTCTCCCTTTTGGTTTGTTTGCTAATGACAAAACATGGTCAACCCCAGAAAGACACTTTTCCACAGCTCGGGTGACAAACCCGATCAGGTCGGGCAACTTACCCCGCCCGAACCTTCACGTTGTTTTCCCGCACGCAGTGCTTCCAGCTACCACTAGAGTAGGTAACCTGGTTTCCTTTCCATTAGGTTTTACCTGATTGGTTTCCCCTGGTTGCCTGCTACAGAGGTAACTGGAAGCACTGGCACAGATTAAACTAGCACCTAACAAGCAAATGGCTGTGTTTTGGGGTAGGTGCACCACCCATTTTTGTCGTACGATTTGGATTTTGGCCCACGGCCAAATGAATGGTAGATTCTTGAATCCAGAGTCTCCATGACCCTTTAACAATGGGGTCATTCCCCAAACTAAAGGGTTCATCACTTCATTCAAAAATCTGAAAAACACTCCAGATACCCTTTTTTGCGAGCTTCCAGGCAAGCCATAGTAGGTAGCTTCCCCATCATGTAAAACCTATCTGGAGTCTCCATCTGACCCTCAAAATATGGTTGGTCATTAGCCACAATAATGGTTGGTCATTGACCTATTTTTATTTCGGGTCAAATCCAGACTCCAGGCAGCTTCCATTTGCTTTTTCACCCCCTGGAGAAAACATATATCGGAAAACAACATATATATTTTCCAGTAGCATAAATTTCCTGTAGCGAAATATGTAAAACCTAGAGGTAAGACAGCCTAGCACTCGGCTCGAAGCCGGAAGCTGGACACTCGTTGCGTCTCCGCCTCGGACTCGGCGAGGCCATCCTTTCGAGCGGGGCCGCTGCTTGCCGCGAGGTGGCTCCCCCAGCTTCCATTTGCTTAATAATAGTTGTTATTTTCCCTGGTTGGTTTTAGAAGGGAAACCATTTTTTTACGACTGGAACTATGTTTTCTCTTTCTTTTCCAGGTGTGCGATGCGCGTGTCCCTTAGGATATCAGCAGAACCGACCAAGATGGGGAAACCCTGTGGACCAGTGGACCCCAGGCGCACAAGTATGGGTCAAAACCGCCCGAAAAAAAACGCAGGTTTTAGTCCTTGCCATTTACCAGGGCTTCATTTTGGATAGGGATTTTTGACCCACACCATTTTCCAGGGCTTTGTTTTGGGTAGGGATTTTTGATTCACGCCCATATAGTAGTTAAGAAGCTACTTCCCCTTTGCTGCTTTAAGGGTGGTTGTCTTGGTCACCTACCGAGCCAGCTAAACGGATCCACGTCCCTCGAAAAATATAGAGGGGCCCAAAAGGTTGCTTTAGTTTGTTTGTTTTGTT